GACTTTATTTCAAAAGTTTAGATATGATTCTCTGAAAGATATTTGTAAGTGAAAATAATTCATTAAAAAGTTGAATATTTTACACCTTATTCGAGTTAATATACCATAATTTATATTTTGTAGCATTTTAAGACACATTTAGGTTATTAATATTTACTTTTCTCAGGATAAAGATAAAGTGAAGTTTTGTGCGTTGGTATACACATGTACTATATGATATATAATTGTGCATAATGATATACATCTTCATGACTTATAAAACATTTTAAGAACAATTTTATACATCTACAAATGATTGTTAGTCAAATATCTGAAATTGGTGATAAGGACTACCTAAAATACACGAATGTAGTAATTTAGTTGGCGTTACGGAAATTATATTTTATGATGTAGACATCACATTCATTATATATACATGTTATGTTTATAATAGAATTAAATAAACTGTTGTTGTCAACTTAAACTATTGTTCATTTACCTGTTGTTGTTATTGTTGTTGAAGTTATTTGATAAGTTATTGTCATGTAAAATGTCATGTGACAAAAGAGTTTTTTATTCCATTTAAAAACGCCGAAAAACAAGCGATTCAACTGAAAATGATTCAAGTCTTTGTTTACCCTGAAAATGAACTGAAATAATACTTTGAATGCAAGTAACCTTATATAATTTAGCCGAAAAAGAATTAATTATTTTCAAATCAACATATAAACACCATCAGTCTGATTTAGGCTAATAAGCACCCCCATGATCTTACACAAAATATAATGATGGACATTGATTAAATTCATTGTTACATTGGTATAAGTAACAATGTTATATTAGTCTAATGATATTATTTATAATCTCTTATGTTCTTATATAGATATTTATAATTATTGGTAATGTAAAGATATACTTTCAGTGTGCAACATTATATTATAACATAATGTAACATAATGATACAAAATGTAACATAATGTAACAGAATGTAACATAATGCCTTGTGTCGAAAATGAAAGACTGTTAATTTACTACTTAAACTGAAAAAAATAGTATAAGAATATGTGAGTGAAAGTTATTTATTTTTCCATAGGAATGAATTAATATATATTACATGTAAACATAACAAGCTTATATGGCTCTGAAATACATATAAACTCGTTATCATGTTATCTCATACTGCTATTACAATGTTTGTTTATTTTCTTTTTTCATTTATATAACTAATCTCCATGCTTGGCAATATTTGAAAGTGAGATCTAAAATCATAAAAAATATCGTTCAGTGCACATTATGCTAGTAATAACACCTAAAGATACACTATGTTAATCTCTCGGTCAAATACTTTTATTACAGAAATTTATTGAAATCTAGGACTTTTTTTACAGATTATGTCTATTTTGATTAATTGAATTCACAAATAATATTTTTGGAAGCTTCATTCCCTCTTACAGGCAAAGTTAGTATGGTCTTTTCTTAAAAAAATAACTGCTTGTTTTTTTAATGACACTATGTATTCATATTGTGTTTACCTAAAGTGTGAAGAGTGTATTAGAAGATGTTTTGCTTCAATTTAAAACGGGCTTTTAAAGAAATTATTATAAAATTTGAGCAAAATATATATTTTAAGTTATGATACAAATAGCGCAAATGTTTACATTGTCAAGCAGGTATCTGGCATGAGGACTAAATTTTGTCGTTTTTCAGTAAAGAAAGTCACTAAATTTTCTTATTTCTAGATAACTTATTGCACCTGTTCGGTATAAATAAGAATGACAAAACCAATCCAAAGTGTACTCTATCACTTTATATCTTAAAGAAAGATATTTCTAATATGCCTCTTCTTTGTAAAATTTTAACTCTACATTTACTTGTCCTTTATATTCTTTGAAGATAACACGAAGCAAAAGAAAAATCTTTTTGTGATAACCATTGTACTTACAATAGTTAACATGCTTCTTATGTTTCATTTTATCAAATCAGGATAAAACAAACTGAAATTCTACTGAATAGATCAAATTACAATTTGAAAACTTTAAAATTTAAAGCAAGTTTTAGTTTTTGAATATGAAAGTTCAAAAGTCGATTTGTTTTCTATTCAATAGTTACACGACTATGAAGAATATGGATGTAAGTAATTAAATACGTAAATAACATAAGGCAGGATTCATCGACCTTGAGATATATGTCTATATTTATATCACGTATCTACAATATATCTTTATCTTAGATTTTTCAAATATCGCATCTTCATACTCCAACTATTCATTTCAGTATAATATAGATCATTCAGCCAATTCTATTTTGATAAAGATGTTCTAGAATGTTGGTTGTTATGACAACAAAAACATTTAATATTAAACTATCTAATTTTCTATTTCAATGGTACGATTGTAGTAAGAGATTCCAGTAAGAGAAATTGTTGTGTTTTTTTTTCTTCAAAATAAAACAAATTATCTTAATATATTATATCTATATTCCTGACTATTTTTGTCGGAACAGCTGGTTTGGAAACAACACGATAATGACAGAATACTTATAATAGTTAAGCGCATTACTGAATAAAAAATACGAAAACATAATACATGAATCAAAACCGCTTGATAGTTATAATATTAGGTTATAAGAATTACATTATCAACAAGTTAAAAATGATATATAATTCAGTTTTGACCTCATCATTATCATTCATACATACTTTATCATACTTGAATTCACCATAAATGGACATAATTTATTTTGAATTCAACATATATGTTAGAATAAACCTGTCCAGCTTCAAATATAAACGGAACTTCCTGTGTTTGGAGATTTTGTATTTACATCAATAAATATAATATTATATTTTTATTTGATATATATTTTACTAGATTCTATCGCAACTATCCTTTTCATTTAACCCCATTCAAAAAGTGTAAAATATTGCAACCATTTCTTTTAAAATTTTAAAAATAACTTTTCAGTATCCCAATAAATAGTTAAATTCTAACATAGATAAAAAAACTTGATTGGAGCACGGTATGAAAAATGGAATTTAGTTATATCGAATTATCATTCAGTTTAAAATGACAAATAACTTTTCATATACAAATAAGAAATATATATCATGATTAAAAGCTATCAAGTTTTCAAGCAGTTCATTTCTATAAAATACTTTTTAAAAACTCCGGCATCAATAAGTAGTGAAACTTTCGAGTATTTATTTATTGTTATTATTTTGTTATATAATGCCTCATTTAATACAGAATGAAATTTAAAATTCAAATTTTAATTGATTTGTAAACAAAACTTATTTTCAGCCTAAAAGATATATTCATAATAAGCGTAATAAATGCGCACTTTTGAATTCAATAGTATACCTTTATGCATAAAGTGACAGCGATCACATGTATTTCTTCCTAACTTTATTTATTTTGTGATATTGTCAACAGACAATCGGACACGCATTGCATACATGCAAATAACAAGTCTGTAAACATTATAAATATGTGCATAAGAAAATCTCGAAAGTATAAAAGAACAAAACCAAACGCGCAATATTGTCGCTAACGAAATTGCTATCAATTAAGTACGTAGAATATGAAAAAAGAAGAGAAATAATGGTGTTTTAAAAATAAATGTTCAATAACCAGGCACTCACCTTAGTGTTGTCTCTTTTGCAGCCGCCTGTGTTATGCGGTTCGACAAAGGATTGTTCTTTCTCAGTAACAAATTGAATTTTAGCCTGGGCAACTCTGCACAACAAATTTTATATATTCTTGCAAAACGTTATTGTGAAAACATTTTGAGCAATGGATATCATATAGCTTTCATTGTTATAAATAGGGACCTAAAATGGCCGGCAGCTACTAGTATGATCTAGTATGATTCTGAGTTGTGCATATGTCTAAATATATCTTAGACGTTTTTATCTTTCACCCGCATCCTAACATAAAATCAAATTCTTAATAATTTTTAGTTTCAATATGGTAAAGTTATTGTGTGCAATACAAGTAACTTTTACTTTTTTTCTGCACAATCTATGTACAACATAAAATTACTGTTTTCCATTGCATTTGTCCAGTAAAGATTAAAGCGCTTTGAATTTAACTATGCATCTTAAGAAACGTACGCAAACAATGTGCAGAGACATTTTGTCTGGTATTTCACGTGTCCTGGGAATACACAATTTATATGTCGGCATGACTCGATGCAGCAGTTTTTGTCACATATATGCACAGTCAATAAATATCATATGTTTTATAATTAAACTACTGTTAGCAACAACATTTTTTACAATATTTTATTATTATCAGCAGGATTGAAATTTAGATCTCTCGTTTTCGGCAGAGTTTTAATTTCAATTACGATCGATACAGAATGTTAATAAACAATTTTTCGCAAAATGTAATGCAACCATGGACAGTAAATCAATCAAAACATTCTATAAAACAATCTTTTAAAATAGTAACAGAGGTAATCCTTTGATTATTATGACGAATTTATAAGTTTGCTGTCGCGTTTCTGACACTTATTATTCCAATTACATTATTTGAATGATCGCGTCTGTTAAGACGGCACCAAAAAGAACATTCATGTCCTGTCGGGCGACCTTAAGACTTACATTATGATTCTATGAGTTTTATGTGCGTGTCATTGGCACACTCGTAGCGAATTAAATTACATGCATTCATTACGTAAAACATTCATATACGGTAGCTAGAATAATTTCAAATTTAAAGAAAAGTAAGGAAGTAAACTTGGATAAAACAAAATGACTTCAGTGTTACTCATTTACGTAAAAAGCTTTTCATATATACTAAAATAAGTTATAAGATCATAACGCACGAGCTTCATTATCCAAAAGCATGATAATTTCATATCAAAACACGAAAAACGTCTCGATAGCAGCACATGAAGACTTTTTCAGTTACAGAGTGTTGCATAAAAAGAAATTTACCATAAAAATAACAGTAAAGTAATGAATGCATTATGTTAATTCGGTTATGGGCTTTATTCTTACTTTCAAATCTCTCTTTCAGGTACACAGACTTGTTCGTTGGAGCTTGAAGGAGTTGGCAAATGAAGATGTTTTAAAAATTATTATTTCTTGTAAGTAGTTTAAGACATGAATAAATAGTTAAGTATTAAAGTACATAAACGACAGCTAATTCTAAATCAGGCTATTAATACCTCTATTCATTGCCGCTGTTTAATCTTTCTAAGCTTATTAGACATTATCTTATTTACTCGGTGAATTATATGATGTTCAGTAAAAGGGACATAATTCAGTGTTCAAATGGTATCACCAAACTTCTAGAATTACGCAGCGGACAATAAACTGCCACATTTTATTGCATCGTGACCCTAGATTGCCTACCACTTAGATATAGGATCCTCGACATTTTGATTAATTTCACTAGTTTAAACTTTCCCAAAATGTCAGACGATGAAAAAAAATCAAATTGTTAACCTAGCTACAACCTTGCATAGCATTATGTCTGCTATATGATAATCATGTCTGGAAAATCGGAAACCCAATCGTATAGATGTATTACTGCGCTGTTAGAAGATTATAACCACTTATTTAGAAATAGAATTTAAAAGTAGTTCCAACGCAGAAAGTTAGATCACGCCCAACTCGGTTTGCATAAAATTAACATATATATTAGAGATAGGAAATGTTTGACCTACGTTCGTCTGCAAAATGCATATATTAAACCCGGTTTTGAAGTTAAATCGACTTGGCATACGTAAAAGACATCTTCGTCAGCTATATTTAACATTTTATTTGATTACTCTGTGTGGTTTGTCCTTGTTCCCGATTTTCATGTTACCTTAATTTGTAGGCATGGCTTTACGCCTACATTAAAGACTAAATGAAAACAAAGCAAACGCTTCTACTTTCATAAAATGCAGATAAAAAAAAGTAAACGCAATGTAGAAATACCACAAAATTGTTCAAGACATAGCTAGTTGTATACTTTTTATATATTCAATGCATTAATTTGTCATAATATAATGCGACAATGTTTCGGCTGCAAATTTCTATACATACAAAGAAAAGCAATACTAAGTTATCGATCGTCAGCTTCGAAAAGTACCTTTATACTAAATGCAGTTTGCTTTCTTGTGAATGTATATACCGAAGTTCATCCTGGCTGCATGAAATATTTGGAATCTTCCCAGGGAAATAGACAGCAAACTATAAATTGTCTTTCTCACATTATCAAATGAGCAAAAAATAAATAGACGCTGGGTTTTCATTCGCCAATTAACTATTCGGAATGAAATTGTCAGTTGCGGTTTGCAAGCTTTCTCTTGGAAAAAATGGAATACAACCTGACAAGTAATGGCAATTTAAGTCCTTTCAGTATTTCTTTATTTCATTACATCCTCAGTGTAATATGGGAGATGAATGTGAAATAAAGTAAAACTAATTAAAATAACATTTACAACTTTGAAAAGGTACAGGTTCGGGATTTTTATTCAGTGTCCAATTTTCAGTCTGCACATAGCCTGACGCTGACGGTACATGATATCAAATTCATGCCATTAATTTAAAAAGAAAACACACATATCTAACCAATAAACATGCACAAAAAATAAAACATTCCCATTTAAAATTAATGCATACTGGATCTTGTTTTATACACAATATTACAAACTGTTGCTTATGTGAAATGTTCTTTAACTACTTGAATCTAAAATAAAATACATGTATGACTTAAGACATTAATAGCACAATCAAAGAAAGACTTACCATAGTATTTTTCTTTCTTATCCGTAAATGATTTGTTAATGATATGAAACATTTATCTTTTCTAAAATTCATATCTTCAAACTTGTGTTATAAGTTTTGTCAATAAAAATAAAAATATGGAAATTACAAAGGATTAAGAATCGTGAGATGAGACAAAACAAAAGTATACACTTTGAATGGATATATAAAGTTAAATACCACAAAAACTGGAGATAAGGCCCCATTTTCATTTTTTTTGTCTGTCCCATGGACCATCAAAATTGCTGGGTACTGCAGAAGTTATTATCGGCGTCTTTTGAATAAAATGCTCAAGAGTGCTTTACTCTCAAATTTTCATTGATTACCTATAATTTACGGAGAGTACTTATTTCCAGGCTTTACTCTTATGTGCTTCTATACATAAAGCTCATAATAAATCATATTATAACTTAGTTATGTAATCAACAGCTTTGTCCTTTCTGTAATATGTATATACAATGTCTTAATAGGCATGTGCAACAAAATTATTTGAAATGAAAATGGATGTATGGATAAAATAACTTTTCATATATAATGTATGGTCAGTTAGGGAACATATTCACAACTTTATCTGATCTTGTCGCATATGTTTGAAAACAAAAGGTAAACAAAAGATAATTGATAAACAGTGAGCAATTAAAAACATTGCTCAGATAAATGAATTTTGTCAATAGAAAGTGAAGAAAGTAATACGTATGTATAAATTTATGGACCAGTATAAGTATATTTAATGAGAATATTTAAAGTCAGTATTACACAAGTAAAATGCTTAGTAAGAAGAATGATACAATAAAATGATTATTTATTGATAATGTTTGTTTTTTAAACTAACCATTGGACCAATGAATGTAAGATATTGAAAACGTAATTGGTGAAATAGCGTTATTTTGAATTCAGTACTATGTTGCACTTATTCGAAAAATTCGAAAATATTGAAAACTTATATGCAAAACCAATTCTACAAATGCAATTATGTTATCAAAGCATTCACTTAATATCTTATAGTTTCCTTTTGAAGTATCGTTTCTTGAAAAATGACATGGCATCTGCTTAACCAACACTAAACGAAACTGAATTTTCGTCCCTTATCAATACCTCTCATCAATATATCATGTTGTGAAAACATCATAAAAACAGGGCCATTTAAATAAACTGTACATGTTAATATCTATTTAAATGGGTAAGTACTAAGGACGTGATTTCAAACTCATCCTCTTGTGAAAACTGTTATTAAATTTTAATAACTAAATACAATGTGCTCGTCTGATGTTTTGTTCACATTAAGGGAATGAATTGAAGGGTACCCGTATTTAAATGTTATAAATGCGACATATGATACACCTATATTCATTTGTGGTGTTACATAAACATATAGGAGAAAAAAATCAAAATCACTTTAAATGTTGCCAAATATAATGACAAGAAGCTTTTAGTCGTAAACATGCCAGAACCATTAAAAAGGTGACCAAACATACATGAGGCTGACAGTCCATTTGGCGTTCACTGCTATTAGTTGAAATTCTGAAATGGCATAGACATAAACACAAACATTTTATTCAATTTTAACAAGATGCTGGAGCCTATCAAGATATAATATATCAAGACTTTCATGATCTGAGACTATCGGCAAGCGAGATCGTCGGGGTTGTCTGTCTTGCACTATCGAAGCAAGGAAGTAACCATTTTATTACATTGTCATTGTGTTCCGTGGACAAAAAAAAACACGAAGTTAGACACTTTGGTCATTGTCTTTCGTTTTATTATCTATTTTATCTTTTGCGTTCTTGGAAGATGACTAAGCAAGTTTTATTCATATTCATATTGAAGAAATAAGTAAATGAGTACTTCAGTAATTGACGTAAACATTGTTTCAAAGTAACAAAATCACTGACATAAAATCGCTCCAAGCCTCTTATTTACTTATTTAATTAAACAATCAACCTCGAACGAGATATTTTAATAGTTTGAGATACCCTTTTATATTCACAATTCAAATGATTTTTTCATCTTTTTTTATATATAAAACATGACAAAATATACTTATTTTATCACTATATTTCTACCCCTTTACTACTGAAGTAAGGGATTTTTTCTTGCATGAAATTTCTCTGCATTAATATTTATAGTCTAAGGCTAAGTTAAAATTATTTTAATTTTTCACGTGACAAATTATATACATATCAGACAATTTTCTAATTAGTTGTTCTAAGTTGTTTTGTTAATGTGAATGGTGGGTACGAGAATTACATGCAAAGAGTACATAATATAAAATGATAGCTCAAAAATTTGTCGAGTGACCAAGTGTTTGATGACCGAACATAATGAAGGGAACATTGATGTATGAACGTCTTATCAACATTTCATTAGCAGTTTAATGTCATAAGCAAAGAACTTTTTGTCGCCATATTTTTTTACTTACTATTGAAAACTTAAGCTTTATGTCTTAGACGTTAATGATGATAAAATTGGGCATTATCGTACATGTAAGGTTGTTCATGAAGCGATTTGTCTGGTTTGCTGACATTAGGGCTCAATTATGACCCCCAGAAATCGATTTTCACACTAACAAACTCTGGAGAGATTTGTCTAGACTAGATCATTTTCTTTGTTTATGTTAATTGATTTTTGGAGGAGATTATTTTGCCAGGGGTACTGTCTAGACGGCAAATTTCAAAATGATGACTATACCATTTTGCAACTTGATTATTTTTTTCCTTGAAACTGTTTTGATGAGTAATTTCGTGACGTATTTTTTAAAGGATCCTCAGCAAACCGTTTTTTAAGTCATAAACAAATCATTTTTAAAGAAATAAATATTCGTTATTTTACATCCTTTATTGACAGTTATAGCACTTTGAGATATAATTAAGTAAGTCTTTAACAAAGTCTTTCAGCTGCAGGTTCTGTTATAAATGCTTTATAGAAACGATGGGTATTCAAATTTAATGTTGAATCATTTTCCAAATTCTACTAAGACTGCAAGAGCCATATGTACATTCTGTTTAACATCTTTCCTTATCTTCATCTACAAATTAAATTAACCGAATTTATCTTAAAAATAACATTTAATACCTAATAATGACTGTTATAACACTTATATAATCTCTAAGACTGAAATAAAGAAAAAGGAAAAAAATTAAGTAGCATGTACAGAGTTAAATCAGTATATGTGATTAAATGTTAAATTAAATACGTATGATATATAAATTACAAACGCAATATTTCAGTATTTGAATATTTTAACATTACTAGTGTAAACTATTTTTTCTTATTTTTTAATGCATAGAAGGTAAATAAAATCTTAAACGAGGATTTTGCCACGTAGTTACGCAATGTGGATAGTAATAGAAGAGTTAAAAGTATATTACAAATGCACTATCTGGTTTAAAAAAAATTACAAGTTGCAAAATTTTTATTGCATTCCTTTTAAGCTATGCCAAAGTTTCAAAATATTCATCTTCCTTAAAAGGAATATATATAGTTTGAAACAAAGATAAGACTGTGAAACAACAATTTGACATGAAATCAGTGCAAGAGATTCTGTGAATAATTCATATTGTTATCTTTATAAAATACTGACAAAATGTTAACTCAATTAAGATATACATTATGGCTATATTTTGGTCATTTCTTCTGAATATATTTTTCTCCAACTTAAATGGTATTTTCAATTTATTGTAGTTAAATCTTTGCATCTTTTCGTAGCAGAGCTGTGTGTCTTAATGTTTGAAGATGTATCTATTTGCTCTTATGTTATTTCGTAAGTCCAACATTGCTTTCAAGTCGGTTGATGCTTAAAGTTTCAGTATACCTGGTTTAATTATATTTTGTTTGACCACTCGTGTGGTTTCCAAAGACAGCACTTCAGAGTATGTTGCATGAATACCAATATACAAATATATAGTCACAGTTTTCTATCAATCTATTTCTATCAAAATTTTTCTTTTTCACGTTGTGTATGCTATGTAATGAAAGTCTTGAATTAAAGTAAGATGGTCCATAATGGAAGGTATGTAATGCCATAGAGAACTAAGTTGATAGAATTTAGTATCATACAGGGCAACAAACCCCTAAAGAATTATATGTGAATGTTGTTATTAAATGTTGATACATGTTCAATTGTTCATATCTCTTCCAGCTTATAATAAATTGTTGTAGATGAGAATATAACCAAATATCATATATTCATAATAAATAACTTAGAACTCCATCAACATTTTAGTTTCCAATAAATACTTTATAAGAATACCTAAATGATACATTTTTATTTTTATTTTTTAATACTTCCGCAAAATTTGCCGATGGTAGCCTAATCCACTTTAAAATATTTATTACACAAATTCATTTGTGCTTATCCTTGAATGGTTAGAATTTTGACCATTGTTTATAGTTGATATTTTTAAGAACTGACCTCGTGCTCACAAAGAAAGGATTTAGACCAAGCTCAAATGTTCCACTTCCATCAATCGTTATAGGCTCAAATATTATGTTCATTTACAAAGTGTGAATCGCTTATTTGAAATTAAACAAAACTCATTTTTGGATAATGGAATATATAGAAATAACAATACAACTTAAATTGTAAAGGGATAAAATTAAGATAAGGATCAAGTGAATATTTGGACCAACTTTAAAAAACTCTTATTTTGTAAAATAATTTGTAATGGTTTCTATCATAAATTTCATCATATTATGCTATTTGAAATCCACTTTTAAGTAAATATTAAAAGGTAAATCTTTGAGAATCACCAATTGAGAAATTTGGATCCTGATCTTTACGGACACATACCTGATGTCGCATTTTTGCTTAATACATTAAAGATATCGCCTGAAAACAAACGGAATAATTTGCTCCCAATAAATGAATTTTAATACTTATGTCCTGTTTATTTTTGACTTAACTACTTAAAATATAAAGGAAATTAGTTTATAATAAATGTATTAAGTATGTAATGCAATTTATAAACTCAGATTGATCAGAGTTACCATTTAACAAAAATGTGAGAAAAAAGGTTTTTATATGAACTTTTGTGGAATCGAAACTAACATCTTTTCGTGTGAAAGATGTACTAACTTATTATAAATGAAAATTTGACCGAATGTTTACGAGTATACATATATAATCTTTTTAAATCTATTCCTTTTAGTAATATTGAAGTTTAGTGTGTTAATATAATTTAAATAAGTATAATTTATCTGTTTACTTAATTTAATACCTTTCAAGTTATTTGATATCATAATTGTAAAGAACAATTAATCATCCCTGATTTAACTATTTAAATTTTTATTTCCAAGTATATATGTTTTACTTTAATCGAATGGTATAAGTTTCAATAGTCATAATAGTTTAATAGTAAGATAAATGTTGATTTTTCCTGATACTAAGTTTTTAAATGTTACGTATAATGTTTCATACATAGTGTAAAACTAAACTTTTTGATTTATACATGTATATAGTGTAAAACTAAACATATTTCAAAAACCGCGTAATTTTTCTTAAAATGTAAAAATACAAATATTTGATTAAGAAATATTGACAGGAACTGAATCACTTCATGATAATATCTTACAAATTTCTATGATTAAAAGAATAAACCATAAAAAATTAAGAATTATATTTATTGTTCAGTTAAAATATTTCAGTGTTTTTTTTTAATGTTCTGTTTTTATAACAGAGTCACATATTAAAATACTTATTTATATGTCGCCTGAATAAACGCGTAATAACATTGCGTTATTTTTAATGTTAAAAATATTTCCTCATTTTTTATAATATATTTTCAGTTGCATCGCTTTAACAACAAATACAATTGTTTTTTAATGAAGATATCGATCTACATTATCTGACCAAATGTTACCGTATGTTGAAATATATATATAAAAATGAAACAGATCAAATTTGATCTGTTTCATTTTTTTTAAATTAAGTTATTTATAGTATTGATCTATATATGGAAGAATGATGCAATTAAATGATACTTTTATTTCAAGAGGAATAAGTACACTTAGGTCAATTTTATCCTGATAGACTATTTTCATGTTTGACATGAAGTACATGTATATAAATCATGCTAATTACAAAGAAATAAAGTCATGAAATATTCAATATACACTAAGATTACAATTTATATGACTTGAAAGACAAGATAATCACTTTTTTCTTGTAATCATTAGTTACACAAACCTGTCCTTTAAAAAAAGATTAAATGAACAATATATTATTAAAATGTCAAAAATGAGTTAAACTGTTACTAATTCTTTTGTTAATACTAAGAATAAATTTTACTATGGTCCAAACTTCATTTGTTAAAAATTTTGAATTACCTTATTTATTTGAGCGCTTTATTTCCACACGTCTTTGGCAGTTTGTGTGTGTTATATCGTAACGGAACAGATCAGCGCCAAATTAATTTCATGCTTTTTCTAAAAAAAATCCAAGATACACAGTTTTACCTACATTGAAAACAAAATATATAAATACTATTATTTTATTGGCGATATGCATAAAGTTTATCATGAAATACTACAATATTATAAGATAATTAGTTTAAATAAGTACAACACAATGTCGTGTTTTTTATTTGACAGTAAAAAGGTAAAAAAAGAAATTTATACATGTATTTCAATTGTGAAGCAAAAATATTTATATGAGCAAATATATGACCATATTTTTTCTTAACAGACCAGTAAATATACAAGACACTTATTATATAGATTCGTTTTAAAATTAAATACAGGTTTATTTGAAAGCATGAACAAATAAATAATCTGATTTCTATGACTGGTTGATTTGTTTTGATAATTTATTATTTTCACTGCTAGATAAATTCAATAAATATGAACAATTGTTGCCTTTTTTTTTAATTGTAATAAATCTCATTCATCTTTCAACTATGAAAAACAATAAATAAACTGGCATGATTAAATAAAAAGATAATCCGTTTTAAAGTCAACAATTATACAGAAAAAGCAACATTTTACTTTGCGTCGTACTATTTTGAGTACACTGTCTTTTTAAAAAAAAAATCCTGTGCAAATGTATTTTAAGGTCATAGTGCATTATTGTTGTTTATCTACGTAAGTGTCGTTAGAAAATGTATACCATGTATAGAAATAATGAAGCAACTGAAGTGTTTTAAATTGTCAAATAAGTATACCAATAACATGTTTCAATTTCTTTTAAGTAATGATTGCACATTAGAATATCAATATATTGGTTAAAAGATATAATATAAATATATTGGTTACGATTATCACATGATAAAAGTTTTTGATTAAACTTTGAATAGCAAATATTATTTCTTTTAATTTTGTATAAATAAACTTGTTTAATGGCACGTTATATTTTAATCGTATGTAAAAGCTATGTAAACGAAACGTGACTTATGATCGCACATATGATAGCGCTGTAACATGCATAACGTTCTTTTGAATGTTCAAAAATAAAATAATCTTCTATATCAATCATATCAGAATGAGTCACATTCGCATTTTAAAAATATTAACAATTCTATTTCAAGGTGTGAAAGAAAATATATCTTTTTTGAAAACATTATAAGTTTGTAAATTGAATTGTCTCCCATACACTTGTAAGCAAGACCCGTAGACCACAATTTGAATAATAACTATCGTAAGATATCGTTTAAAATATAGATATATTCAATGTTATCAATAAACGTCATTACAGTTAAAATATTCCAATGATTTATGCATCTTACAGTTATATTCGTCTAGTATATTGAAGTATAAGTAAAATAAATCTTTGATTATTTATGTTTAATCGTCTTTTAAAAACGACCATTTAAACGCTGACAGTTTTATGACTAAATTGCTTTAACTAAAAATTAGTTTCTTCATGCTGCTCCTATTACGATGAAAATTAAGTATTTGAATTACATATTTTAACACATGTTATCTAGACATGTTCATGGAATTCCTTATGTTCTAAAATATAATGTTAACATAAGTGATCATGTTATTTATTGTTAATCTAGACATCTAATAACGCCATGACCAGACTTTAATTTTCGTTACCATTTAATTTTGATAAAGGAACCATTACAGACACCAGATGTAAACAATGTATAATCATTGAAGCAACATACTGCAGTTTCACAGACAACACGTTTTGTTTTATCATTTACTGTTGCTTTAGGTTTTTACAAGAATTACAATCATTTACAAGATAAAGTACTGGAATAGTTTTTAATTATAAATGCTATCATGTATATGGCATGAGTAACGTCATGTTTGAACATTGTTCCCATAGTCTGAAACTACAGGATTTGTTCACCTTACACCAGTTACATCTTGTTCTTTTCAGGTTGTCTTTGTCAAAGATGAGGCCCTATTATTAATACAAGTCGGTAAGATGGATTGTGCATCACATTGGAAAATATATTATTATCTAATAATTTGATAAAAATTTAAATTAACATTCTCGCCTGTTTAGAAACATTACTCGTGTTATTTAATATTTTACACTAGTGCATTTTAAATACATGTGTGTATTTTTCAACATATCTTTTTTATACCAAATAATACTATTTTAATGATTGGATATTTACGTAACTATTTTGTAAGTGTATGCTGTTATAATTTTACTATTTTAACATGCTTATACTTATTGCTGAATAAATAATTAAACTGTATAAATAATCAATCTTTTATTCTTTGACAACCCTTAGAGTTTTGTGTATTATATTATTTGTTTACTATCCGTACACAGTTAAACATTTTATATTTAAATCAGTATAGTTCATTTTTTAATCTTTATTTAAATAAAGTACCTTTTAATGTCTTTGAGGCAGAAATATTGGAACACACTTGGCCGATTTGACTAAAGGATCCCCATAGATTTAGATAAATGTATATTAAACATAAATTAGAAAATAGTACTATATTTTGTTGCGGTGGCGAAACACACATTCTATGCGTGTATCACCAAATGTTTTGCAAACCTTTAAATAAAAAATAATCTTTATCGCACAGGATAAAATAATTTTGACAAATTTGCTTTCAAATATTTAACCGTGAGCTCATATTCAATAAACATGGCTTGAAGAGTCATGTGTCTTTTGTGGTAATGTTGAAATAGGCAAGTGGACTCACTTATGACTATAAGAATGATTGTTGTTATATACGATGAAAATAAAATAAATTGTATTATAACATACCCGTGCCGCTTTGGAGACTCCGTAAAATGGTATTGCATGGCCGTGCATATATTTTGACCTGATGTCATTTGCGTTATGCAAACATAGTGTAATGGCGCGTTACACTATAGGCGCGTCAATAAAAAATGATTCTTTTTTTCACATTAAGCAGTCTTTATTTTGGTTATGTTATAAATATAATTTTATATTCGTGTAGGTTCATTGCTGAATTTATTGAACTCGTTGAATAAAATAATACAAAATGTATTATATGCTCGCATGGCCACTTGTTTACTAAGAAAAAATCAGGATCAGGATCAAGTGATCATGATTTTATTTTCATTGTTTTGTGTTACTAAAACAATCGTGTTTTGCTAGAACTAAATGGTTAATATTCAAAATGTAAAACATTGCTGATTTGCAAGGAAATCAAACTATTTTTGGATAAAATCAACAAATAACAAAACAAAAAAAAAATATTTGGATCAAAATGAGGATCAATTTTAGGATCAGGATCAATATTTGGATCAACTGTAAAATGACCGTATCTTGCAAAAACAACACTAAATTTATTCTTAAATTTCATAACTTACAAGTGCAAGTCCAGTTTTTTTTCAAATTTATATTAGATATAACAATGAAGAATATTAGAGTTTTTGAATTTGATCCTAATCTTGATCCTGATCCTGAAATATTTGTGTGCACGGGGCCAGAGACTTGCATAATATAATTTTATTCAACTCGTTCAATAAATTCAGTATTGAACTTACTTCAATATCCTCTAATTCTTCAATGTAAATGTCAGTCTTCAATTATTGGCACAAGGGATATTAGGTAATAAATAATAAAATTAAAAATTCATATAATATGCCTCATTCCTTCAACCTAGTTGTTCTATATTTTCGGACAATTTCACTTTAAAGAAACTTATTTGGGGCTATGTGGAAGCTCGTATGAGACATAAAGAAGGACGTGACTACATATATAATAATTTTTAACTCTTTGAGTTGTTGTTAAACAATGTATTTATTTCAATAACAGTAGTTGTGCATAGGTATACATTTCTTTCTGAAAAGACATCTATAAATTTTTGGTTGCCCCAAAAATTCAGCTGTGTCATGTTTGAATTGTATTTTTTGAACATCCCTCGTGGTGTCAAACATGAACTATCTTAAAACGGCGTATTCGTACACATTTTGTTTTCATAAAAAACAGTTTGGTCTAGGCAAATGATAAAATTGTCCACTCTCTCCACTTAATTCTCTTAAAGAGTTTTCTTTTATACCAATTGATGAAGCAAAGAACAATTGGAAAATATCTTTTAATGAAAAAACTTCAAATGTGGGTGTATAAATTTGTACAATGATTCCTAATGGTAACAGTACCTTATTAATGTTATAGAATACAATTCTTTAGTTGTCTTCGAAATTAAATAATTAATGAATGTGTTGCTTATGGTCATGATTCATTTTTACATTGCCTTTTAATGCATATTTACCGTCATGATCCTGCATATTGACTAAGAATGCCAAATTATATGTTGCATATGTTACACATCATTTGACTTTGCGTCATTTCCTTATTAATAACTCTGCCTGATGAAGACAAAATTTAAACTTGAGTTGACTTCTTTTTTTTCTATTAACGTGAAACTGAAATGAATACTTACAATTTTAAACTGGCTTACCTAAAATAATATCAAAGTACAGCATAATTGCTATCCAAGAATCTAAACTTTCAAGTGTAGTTTTCATCTCGGCTGGTAAAAACCAGAGATATCTCCAAACAAATGTTTTATCATATGAAGTCTATTTGCACATTTGTACTAAGAGAGTTATAAAAGTAAACAATGTGATCCAGGTGCTCACTTATCAAATGGTAAATGACTGTTCTCGTAATGCATTGTTCACATTTGGTGACCAAAAATGTGAATAAAATGTTCGTTTGTGGCAGTAAAGCACACATATGTTATTTCTATTATAAAATAAATATGTTTTGATCAGTCTTACGTTACCATAATATTTTTATTTATAACCCCAGTTTCACACATAGAAACTAAGTCAAAAGCAACAAAGTTTGTAACAGCTTTATAACGATGCTTTACAGCATGAAGAAGTATGATATGTGTGATTACACTAGGTAAAAGATCTGGCAAAAGGGTGATGCATAACAATTGCAGACTCGGTCTTATCGTGTCTGTTCATGAGGGATAATGGGATAATGGAAAATATCAACATCTCTTGCGTCCCCAATCACCGGCAGTCAGCTTACTATTTTTAACTTTAAGTAGACATCGTCACTGGCTTAAAAATAAATTATCAAAATATGGTGTTTAATTATTTGGTCATTTACTTAGGTCTAGCATCTTAATATTTGAACTAAGACATGAGCTATTCAGCTAATTATATGTATTGGAGAGAAATAGATTCTGACCAAGAACAATTTAGTTTTGGGCGTCGGAATAGTTTGACTGATTAAATTTTTATTCACCTTACATTTTATTTTCATTTCTTTTTTTTCCGCTGAGAGTTTAGTAATTCCTTGCAGAAATAATCATTGTATAAGGCGTCGGACAATCTTAATGATAATATTTAAAAACGACTTTGAAAAAGATTATGTTAGGGTAAAAATAAAAATGCAAGTTTTCATGAAATTAAAAAGTTTTTCAACTTTGAAATAGAATTAAATATGATATGTTTATATGCTTATGCTGTTGAGGTATGTACAAGAATCAAGTGGTATGACGTGAAGCGTTTCATCCTTGGTTTCAGCGACCTAAGGGGCTACAAACGTAACCATATCATCAATAATGACCACAACCACTTGAATTTTGTTATGTTGATGTTTAAATTTGTTAATTTCTGTAAGCATTAAGATAATGTTGCTTGAAGTTTCGAGTTCCAAAGTCACTTTATTGATGTAGTTAGTGCGGTATAAAAGAGACGGGCTCATATTTTAAGGTGTAGTCAAGTTACGATTCTATTCCGGTTTCCTACATTCAATCTTGTATGTTTAAAATTTTATAAAAAATCAAACAAACCATATTTTGTTAATTATTATTATTATATTATGTATTAATTGCGTATTCCATATAAAGATTCACTTCACATATATCTTGTTTATACAATACTTATTTAGAGAATTATTGTATGCTATCTCCAATTTCTATATGGCTTTCAAAATAACATAGCTTAAGTAGATGATAATCAAGCGGACTAGACAAGATCTTATATGAAGATATGATGGCTATTTTTAAAAGTTTGCAACTATTTCACAAGCTTGAAGAACGTGTTCAACAACTTCATGCTCTGTCCCTGGTGGGGAAATACTTAGTTTTAATATGTGTTAATAACCAAGAATTTGATCTACACAATAATAAGTTGCTTTGCAAGGTGAGTTTGCAAGGACCATTGTCTCAAATATCTAAAAAATCAAAACGAAAATAAATATTTTTAATTTATTTGAAAACTCCCCATTGTTTGTTTCAAAACCTTTGATTTATTCCTATAAGGCGTCCATTATTTGTCCTTGGCCATCCTTGATTACGTGTGAGTCACTCCATTGCCAGATCTGAAAATTTCATGGAATAATGAAATATTATTTAATAAGAAGTATTAATAAACTAGCTTTAAAGAAGCGTAAACAAATAGAAACATTTAAAAATCAAAAGCGACAACATGGTTAGTAAAAAATTCGGTATACTTACTTGAGCAAAACATGGGCAAAAATTGTATTAAAATTTGAAGATATGTATTGACCACACAATGGTTTAATATGGAACGCCTGGACTGTCTTATGTTAAGATTGAATGATATACCTGGTTAAATGTCTTTCTTTTGAGTCCGAGATACAAAATGCTGGGTTGAAATCCTAATGTGCTCAGTTATTGAAGTGCTATGTTGTGTGCTGACTGTATTTTATTCAGTCAAGTCAATGTATTGTCGGGTGCATAAGTCGTTACGTTCAGTTCTTAAAACAAACAGGCATGTGGAAACACAATTATGTTGAGTTAAAAAGATATGTTGTAGGGTGTTACAGTTATTATGTTCGGTTATAATAATATGCTGTTTGGTGCTCTTCTCATCATGTTCAACCATGAAAATAAACAGTTGAGTGGTACTATCATTTTGTTTGGTTGAGGCAGTGTATTATTGGGTGATACTTTTATTATTTTTCAGTTGCAATGACATGCTGTTGGGTGCTTTATTCCTTCTGTTCAGTCGTGAAATAGAACTGTTAAATGGTACAATCATTATCTTAAATGGTACTATCATTATCTTGTGTGCTGATTATATCTTCTTCAGTCAAGTCAATGTGTTATTCGGTGCAAAGGTCGTTATGTTTCAGTGGTTTTTTTGGTACTATCATTCTGTTCAGTTCAGATGATATACTGTTCGGTGTTGAGGTTATTATGTTCAATAGTGAACACAAACTGTTGTGTGATACCACAATTATGTTGGGTTCATTCGGATATTTTCGGGCAACAAGATGGGAGAGGTCACGTCGAGGCTAATGACCACTAAATTGCCAAAACAATTTTCTTCCCTGTAAATATTATCGGGGGGCTTAAGAACGTTATTTTCATAAATTGGACTTTTAAATACCCTATGGGTATTTATTAGTTAATTCATGACTATACTATACTGTTACAGTCATAATGGGTACAGTATATAGAAAACTTAAAATAGGGGTAAGGGTAGCCTGTTAAAGTCACACATGACCACCGTAAATAAAACTTAAAATTTATCTGTTTGGTAACCTATAAGAGTCACAAATGGACACAGCAAACGAAATTCAAAATATAAAACATCATATTCAAGTAAGGGAACCCTATTTGAGTCACACATGGCCACAGTATATGGAGCATATAAGTAAGGGTAGCCTATTAAAGTCACATATGGCCACAGCATATACAACTTAACATGTATTTGTTGGTAACCCATTTGAGTCACACATAACCACAACAAATGGAACATAATATTTAAGTAAGGGAAACCTATTTGAGTCACACATGGCCACAGTATATGGAACATTAAATATAAGTATATAGGTAGCGCAATAAAGTCACACATACCCACATTATGAATAACATTCTATATAAGTAAGGGAAACCTAATTGAGTCACACTAGGCCAAAATATATGGAACATTATGTTTTAAGTAAGGGAAACCTTTTTGAGTCACGCATAACTAAAGTATATGGAACATTATATATAAGTAAGGGTAGCCTCAAATACATTTCCCTGACTTAAACATTATGTCTAATATATTGTGGCCATATGTGACTAAATTAGGTTTCACTTACCTATATAGAATTTTCTTTATACTTTGGCCATGTTTGACTTTATTAGGCTACACTTACTTATATATAATGTTCCATTTACTGTGGTCATGTGTGTCTCAAATGGGGTTTCCATACTTATATTTAACGTTCTTTATACTGTGGCCATGTGTGACTCAAATAGGTAATTGTTTTGGCAATTTAGTGGTCATTAGCCTCGACGTGACCTATGGAAATTAGTTGCTCCCGCCCGCCATCTTGTTTGACGCAAAGAAATCCGAATGAACCCAACATAATTGTATGACCACTCAGCGCATTGTCAAATGACTTGTGCACCGAACAGTATATCATCTGAACTGAACATAATGACGGTATCACACCACAGTTTGTGTTCACTACTGAACATAATGACTTCTGCACCGAACAGAATATCATCTGAACTGAACATAATGACGGTATCACACCACAGTTTGTGTTCACTACTGAACATAATGACCTCTGCACCAAACAGGATATCATCTGAACTGAACATAATGACGGTATCACACCACAGTTTGTGTTCACTACTGACCATAATGACTTCTGCACCGAACAGAATATCATCTGAACTGAACATAATGACGGTATCACACCACAGTTTGTGTTCACTACTGACCATAATGACTTCTGCACCGAACAGAATATCATCTGAACTGAACATAATGACGGTATCACACCACAGTTTGTGTTCACTACTGAACATAATGACTTCTGCACCGAACAGAATATCATCTGAACTGAACATAATGACGGTATCACACAACAGTTTGTGTTCACTACTGACCATAATGACTTCTGCACCGAACAGTATATTATCTGAACTGAACATAATGACTTCTGCACCGAACAGAATATCATCTGAACTGAACATAATGACGGTATCACACAACAGTTTGTGTTCACTACTGACCGTAATGACTTCTGCACCGAACAGTATATTATCTGAACTGAACATAATGACTTCTGCACCGAACAGAATATCATCTGAACTGAACATAATGACGGTATCACACAACAGTTTGTGTTCACTACTGAACATAATGACTTCTGCACCGAACAGTATATTATCTGAACTGAACATAATGACTTCTGCACCGAACAGTATATCATCTGAACTGAACATAATGACCTCTGCACCGAACATTACATCATCTGAACTGAACATAATGACTTCTGCACCGAACAGAATATCATCTGAACTGAACATAATAACGGTATCACACAACATTTTGTGTTCACTACTTAACAGAATGACTTCTGCACCGAACAGTACATCATCTGAACTGAACATAATGATAGTACTATTCAACAGTTCTATTTCACGACTGAACAGTCTGAATAAAGCACCCAACAGCATGTCATTTCAACTGAAAATGATAAAAGGATCACCCAATAATACACTGCCTCAGCCAAACGAAATGATAGTACCACTTAACAGTTTATTTTCATGGTTGAACATGATGAGAAGAGCTATTTTAACCGAACATAACAACTGTCATACCCTACAACATATCTTTTTAACTCAACATAATTGTGTTACCACATGCCTGTTTGTTTTATAAACTGAACATAACGACTTATGCACCCGACAATACATTGACTTGACTGTATAAAATGTAATCAGCACACAACATTACACTTCAATAACTGAGCGCATTTGGATTTCCACCCAGTATATTGGGATTTTGACCCAGCATATTGTATCTCGGACTCAACAGAATCACATTTAACCATGTATATCAGTCATTCTACACATAAGACAGTCCAGGCGTTCCATAGTTTAACTTTGTACTGAATTATGGTTTTGTGTAAATAGAGGGAGAACGAAAAGTAAAAGCTGCAGAATTGTGACTTTTCACGCTTTTAAATTATGTTTGTTATGATTGTTAATCAGAACATTGTTGTATTTTTTGAGTCCACTGCGTCTATTGATGGACAAAAGTGTTCGAGACGGCATGGAAACTAAATAACGTCATATGAAACTTCCATTCAAATTCTAGCTTCCAAAGCCAAAAACGCATTTACAAAAGGCACAATTCTGCAACATTTGTTTTTTTAAATCTCGGATGTATGCACATAACCAAAGTTCTCATGATCAAATTTTAATTAAATGTAAACCATGTTGTAGTAAATACATTTCTGCAAATTTTGATACCAAATATGCAAATACTTTTGCTTAAATAAGTATATAAAACACTTTCTTTTGCAACTCTCTATAATTAAACGGTATCATAATATAAAATGATACTTTTCAGAACATTTACAGAAATATCACCATAACGATTAAAAATTTTGTCGCATTATTTCATTTTAAATGACAAATATGAAATATGGAGAACATACATAACAATCACAGGTCTTGTGGCTGGTTGGGAGATGGTTGCAGCTTTCACTACAGCATGTGTATCACTTGTATGCTTGCTGGTCCTTGATAAAAGTCCAAACCCCATTATCACAATGAACACTGTAAAAAACAACTATACAAATCGGTACGTTATAAAACAAAAATATCGGCAATATATGTTACATATTTTAATTGGACAAGAGATGAATATCACATTACTAAACTGATTGTGCTTTGATGTGAAAATTAAATCAATTTGTGTAATATCAATACAGCCATTTTGACAGAGTACTAGAAATCTGCTTATTTATACCTGATTTCCTAGATCTAAAACATGCAATTCATTCTCAAATTTTTTATCAATTCTTTTTAAAAACATATATTACAAACTATTACATAAAATAATTTCATTTCTCTGGAAATTTTATTTTAATCCATGGTTAAATTATATAGAGGATATTGAATGAGTGTAGTTTAATACTAAATTTATTGAACGAGTTGAATAAAATCATATTATGCGAGCCTCTGGCGAGCATAATATTGTTTTATTCAACGAGTTTAATAAATTTAGTATTGAATCTACACGAATTTAATATTCTATTCATCACATATATAAAATAAGAACAGTAAACTGTAAAAAAGAGTAATTTTTTTCAATGACGCGCCTATAGTGTAACGCTAACATTAGCGCGGTTCTATATAGCGCAAATGACGTCACGTCAAAGTGTTATTACACTAGTGTAATATCGTTTTTATTAAATGGCTTTATTACACTCCCGCGCCGCGTTTTATGTGATAAAAATTTATATTTATTAACTGCTGGCGGACATAGCCTGTTCAAAACTGAGATTCGAGCTGTATATGTTTTTACAAGTGTCAATCTTAGAAGCGATTTCGATTACTTCATTAAATTTAATTTGTATCGATAGAAAAACAATGGCGTGCCATGTTTACTTATTAACGATTTATTCACAACTTTTTAAAGGCAACTCGTAGAAATACATGGAGCTAAATTTAAGATTGCCAAAGATGATAATAATTATCTTACTTATAAAAAAGAAGCCCAATAGACCGAGAATAATGCCTCCAATTCCAATGCGTCCTCCTTGTCCGTACCCGTATGGATGTGGTGGGTAATAAGGCGGCGGTGGCGGTGGTAGGCGTATTTGTGCTTGCTGGTAAGGGTTTACGAGGTTATACACACCACCACCGTTACAAAGAGCGACACCGATCATGCATGGAAAGTAGCTTATAAACAGAACAGTTACTCTCATCTGAAAAAAAAAAAGATTCATTTAACTTTACATGGTTATCACGATTCCAACCCCCTTTATTAAAGCTAACCAGTGATATTCTCTTTTAAAAGTATAATACAGTTTGCATTTTTGACGGGTGAATATAATCGAATATGTATGCTGCTTATTGATGTGATTTTGACAAGGTTATTCGTTGATTACACTTAATTGTTTGGCAAAAGTGATATGAACAGACTCAGTACGTCTTAAAAAATACAGGATAATTAGCAAAATAATGTTACGTTTTCTTTCACATTTTTTACTGTCTGCACACCTTAATCATTAACACACGTTAGTAAATGCATTCATTAAATGTAATTTCTTTTACAAATTAGTAATTCTTAAAATAGTCATCGCTAAGTAATGCTAAATAATGCTTAAAAAAGTGCTATATAAACATGTATATTGTTTGCTTGTTGTTTAAAATGCTTGTAAATGTTTATATAGCATGATAATATAACGCTGCAATTATCTTCTTTATTCATCTGTACTTATGAGTGGAAAAATCCGAAGATATGTAATTGAAGATGCAAGCAATATTTCTCCTTTCAAAAGTCAACTTAAAGCTAAAATATTTGGTATCTTTAGATTTAGAGAAAAATGTGAATAAACTCATCTGAATTCAATCAGATTCAAATCCTGACATTATGTAACAGCATGGAAATCATCGTAGCTTCTACAAATAAGCCTACAAAAGTTGTCTGCCTTATTTAATGTAACAAAATATGTATATGTCTAATGAGTAGAGCGTGACATGGCACACCAACTTAATGGCGGCATATCGTTTTATCATTTAATTTCTTCACAATCATATCACATTTCCTTGTAAATGATTTAGAAAAAAAATCCATAATACTTACTATGTTATTATCAGTCTGAAAACTAAATAACAAAACCAATAGCCTGGAAGAAAACCTCTTAAATATGAAGCTAGAAAACAATAGCAGGCTAAAAACAAGATGAACAAGTTCGAAATCTAGAGAAACAATACTAGAGAACGATTTGAAACCCAAAAGAACAATTTAAAACATAGAAGAACGAACTGAAATCTTTTTGAATGTATTGGAAGAATTTGAAATCTTGAGTGACAACATGAAATCTAGTGGAGCAAGTTGAATAATAGTAGAACAAGTAATTGAAATTAATTTGGAACCTACATGAACAATGTCAAATCTTAAGTAACAATTAGAACCTAGATGAATATGTTAAATCCAATTGAACACAGAAAGGAACAATTTGAAGCCTTCAGAATTATTCTAAAACCTAAAGAAGCAATTTCAAACCTAGATAAATGATAATAAAACCAATTTAAAATTTAGATGAACAGTTTGTACCGCGAGGAAGAACTATTTGAAATAAAGCTAGACCATTCAAGGCTAAGATTAACAGGAACTATTTGTTTTTGTTCAATTTTCTATCAATATTTGTTCAATATTCTACATAATCGTGAAAAGTATGAATTTCGACAATATTATCATTCTTAATAGATACCAAATGAAATCATTATATGATTTTATTCTGCAAGTAATATTCTGAGCAGTCTTGGTGTTTTATAACATATTTTGAAAGCCTTTGTTGCTGTAAAAAATAAAGTTATAGCTAGATCTATTACCGTCCTGATACAAAAATCTTATATAATTTACACATCTGAACATTTATTTTGACGACGTGAAAACATAATAATTTTGTTGGAACCGACTATCTAAAGATTCTTACTTTGTAATGTTTTACTAACAGCGGAATTATTTCCCCCCCTCTGCTTCTTATGTATTTACGAATCACCCTGATTCCAAATAGTTTTTTTCTTTTAATTTAACATAAACGAATAATAACCAAATACATAATTTTAATAAATTACACTGATACTCAAATATTTTTGGTAGATTACGGTATACACACATTAATTGGTAAATAATCGTGTCACCAAATATCTTCCTGTTACATAATTTGGTAAATTACTATGTACAAAAATATATTACAAATGTTTTACGTTAACTTTAATGGTACAATTCATGGCCAAATTTCAAACTGCATATTTAATAAAGAAAAACAGTTAAAATGTATTTTCTTTTGAGGACCTCTTTAATGATTTATCTTACTTATTCAGTTAAGAATGGAAAATTTTTTGGGTCGTCTTGCAAGAGGCAATGAATACACAAAAACAATGTCTGATATGTAAAACAACAATATTTATTGATAACTTAAAGTATGTTCTTGTTTTGTACATTGTTTTTATTATAAGTTAATTGATATAATCTTAATGAACCAGTGATATTCCCTTTTAAAAGTATAATACAGTTTGCAAATTTCCAAATTTTTATTGACAGTATAATAAATGTAAGTTATTTAGTTTGTTTTAACCCAACCGTCATATATTCTGTTTCTACAAAAGAAGAGAATTAACTCTCGTCAGAATCATTGCCATTATTATTATTATCATTGTTATCATCATTATCATTATTATGGCTGTCTTGAATCACGATGTTTGTTGTTCCTCCATTATTTGAACCCCCACCGCTGCCTCCAGTGTTGCCACCAGTGTTACCGCCGCCGCCACTTCCTGAACCGGGATTCATCATCATGTTCATATGACCATAACCCTGCGGAAAATGACCTCCACTTCCTGTATCAGTTCTGTAAAGCAAAAGATCGTTTCAACTTGTAAATATTCAAACTCTGGAAAGGGAGAATTAATACAGAAATAAATAGTTGAAAATCGCAGTTTTAATGATTTTGTTTTAAAAAATTGTTTATGAGAGAAAATCTCTCACGCCCCTAGCACAGACTAAAGTGGACCCTAAATTTTGGAATCAATGGTTTTTATATTACGGATACTGACAGTATGTTTGGTGTAATGATGCTTGGGCTCATATAACATTCAGCAAGAATTATTTGTAGCTTAAGTGACTCACATTTAGTGTACATAGTATAAACAAACATTTGTAAATGACACATGCTTTAATAAGAATAATGACTTTGGTTTCATTATGATCATTTACAAGAATCAGTTTTTTGACATATTATGTAATATCTAAACACATTACACAATGCGAAAAAAATGGTCCAAGCTTAATTAACTTTATAGTTATTACAAAATAAGTCTAAAAAATCAACACACAAAAATACAACTCGGAGACTGTTGACTTACATGATGATAATTGGTTGCTCGCCACCACCGCCAACTATTTTACCGTAAGAAGATGATGATAAAGCAGACGAATGGGACGAGCTTTTACTAAGTGCACTAAACATCATCATCAGGATGGAAACTGGAATAATTCAAGACGTTGATATAAAACATTTTCTATAATGTATAGATATCATCTACAATTTTTCTGAACCTAAAACATGCTGAATTTTTAATTGACCTAGTTCGGCTTGTATGATAAAGGGGTATTAGACTTGCCAAACTGGTACTGCTCTACCTGATGTCAAAGGCTAATAAGTTTCGGTTACAGTAAGGTAAGGATTATAGCTCTTTTATTCTTTTATTTATTATAAAAAGGGTATAGATAATAAAATAATATGACTTGGCTTTATCTGTATTTTTATGGTACCAATTTTTTTTACCAAATATCAGAACTTTAGAAACCTATATAAAGAAGGTAATGTCAAAAGAACTTTATTTCGTGAAATAATACAAAAATCTTCATTCTATTGTCAGGTTTATACAATAAAAAAATGTTTAACAATTCGTTAGTAATGAATTATATGATTTTGAACATGGAATTCATTTTAGTTAAATCATGCAACAGAGTAATATTAAATCAATTTAAAATCATAATATTTATGATTTTATACTATTAATTGTAAACGGATATTTAATCTGAAATCAACAACTATACACTGATGTTTTTGTTATGAAGTTATAATGATATTTTCGGTGTAAAGAAAATGATGCAATGATACTATTTGTCTGACTACTTCATGAAAATATTGGTAATGGGGAAAAACGTTTTTATAAGTAACTAAAGTTAACAAACTAAAATTTCCACAATATTTATTTGCATGTTGATTTGAATGCATACCAAAAATGTTTTCATGAAATTTGCTGATAAGTATCGTGAAAATATTTTATATAAAATAATTATATCGGAAAAGACAAAGAAAACAAGATGCATTTTCGAAGATACTTACGAAAGAGGAAAAATCCCAAAAGATACAGAATGATTTTACCAAAGCCCCATCCACCATGGTACGGCTGAGTATAGACCGGAAATGGCATCGGAACCGGAACTGTTTGCTTCTTATATATATTTGAGGTATAAGCATGAGTGCCTTCGTCGGCGTAGTAGCCGCCATTTCCAAGAACGACGTAGACAAGACATGTCAACGAGATAACGAAAAGACGAAATACATTCATCTGAAACATGAAGATAAAAAAACCTTATTATAATCATTCTGTCATAAAAATTTAAATGCATGCATATTATATATATTATGTAACTAATTTCAAATCTGGGGTTATTAACTTAAGTTTGTTTATTTTTTTTTCTAGATTTTAACAATAAAATTTTAAAAATGACTGAAATTTCATCTTGAAATTTTTGTGTTGCAGCAGTCTTTTCATCAACAGCTCTTTTCTCACGTCAATGTGATACTCTTCGTAAAATTTCTAAACAACTTGAAAATTAAATGAAATCGACTACATTATGTGAACCAAACATTTTGTTTCATTGCAAAAATGTAGCTGTTGCAGAGAAATGTTAAAAATAAAAAGTAGAATTAATAACAAATGTGTAAAACAGTTAAAAACTATATGGTTTAAAACCAAACGTGTAGGTTGCAAGTTATATGTAGAAATGAAAAAGATAATTGGCAATTTTAATCTAAAATTTCGAGCAAGCCGGATGTGAATTGTCTCGGTTTGTATTTATTCGTCCGAATCAAGAGCAAAATGATTTGCTTCAGTAGTGGTGAGCTGACTTCTAACTATATATCATTTTAGTTTTGCATCTATTATGTACAATGCCTGACTGCACTTTGCGAATGTTGCTGTTTTGCAACTGGAAGTGCAAATGTCTCGTTGGAAGAGAATACAGAATACTGTTGGAATATTTTGTCAAGAAATATTTTATATCTTGTACATTTAGAATGATTGTATTTGTGTATTTCAAACCGTTGTTCATGATCATGTAACGAACTCATTCATACATATGCTGAAAATATCTGTGTTTCAAGAAAAGACCGCTGCTTATTGTATTCAAAAATTTGATTCTTTACTCAATATCTTTAACTTCTTTACGCAATATCTTTAACTTATTATAAAATCTTTAATGTTATAATTCAGAATACATTTGAAAAACAACCTACCTAGAATGTTTGACTTGTTTTTTTCCTGAAACACAGGTATTTTCTTGATATTATGAACTCTACTCTTATTGAAACATTTTCTCGTCGTAAAAATTCCGAAAACCGTAAAACTTTTAACATATATGAAGCTTTTTTCTCAATTTTTTTGTTTTATCGCAAGTCAAATTATTGTTCACGACTATTTCCTTCTTTTTTCAATCAAATCAATACGTTTCTCTTCTGCAAAATTTATTTTGATATAGCACGCAGGTGCAACAGCAAATTCTTTTTCACAATGTTTAATTTAATTTCCTTTAAGCATTTAAGTGTTGAAAAGACGAGACAAAATTTTCAAAACAAGCAAATAGTGACCATGTTACAGAGAACAAAAATTTCTTATAAATGCCTGAATTATTTGGATTATTCATCTACGTTTCTCAAACTATCCAACAGTTTCATACTGACCTCTAAATTCACAGGATAAAAGCATCTTGAAGCGAAAGTTTAAAGTTCAAGATTACAAAAAGACAAAAGCATCTAACAATGATGAACTTTATCATTAATATTTTACTAATAGAATAGGCAGATTTTACGTCAATTACTTATTTTCTGCTTTTGATTATGTCTTTGATAGAATTGAATTCATAAGATCTTGGAATGTACAAATGTTAGAAATAAACTATTTTGACACAAAAATTCTCATTTAAAAAGATCAATGACTGATTATATCCCTCTAGGTGTTTTATTGATAATCAACATATAAAACATGTTAAAATGACATATTACCAAGCGGAAAAATAATAACCTAAATAACTAAATACATTAATCATATTCATGTAAAAGTGCGTTTTTTCAAGATTAAATATCTCAATGTTTCTATGTACAAACTATAAATATATTGCAGTCAAAATATAGCATGTTAAGAGAGATAAGAATAACCTATGCATTCACCGTTTTCGTCTCTGAAACAAAAATGACAAAAAAGAAAAAGGCCATTTTTAACCAAGCATGTTAAGGGTTAAGAATTTAAATCTATAGTGTTTTTCGTCTTAAATGTAAGTAGCAAGTGCAAATGTTCAGAATTGCATTGAGCATCTCAGAGTCCAAGATAAGACAATACTCGGCAACTAAACGGCGATGAGCAACTTAAATCAAAACGAATTTCATCCAACGTGGTAATTATTATCAGTTAAATATTTAATAAAGACAGTATAAATAAATAAAAAAATAAATAAATGAATAAATAAATCAATTTAAATAAATAATAAACTAATGAAAAAATAAAAGAAATCGGATTATTTTGGCCATAAAGCCATGCCAAACAATACAAAACAGGCGGAAGACAAGGTGTAAGACTCTTTCACAATATATTACATTAAGTAACCGGGACACAAACTGTTTGACTTAGGGTGTGTATTCTCCATTATAATTATCACAAAAAATGGTGTTTGCAATAACAAAACTACATGGAAACCTTCATGCTTTATTTTTAATTGTATATATTGTTTAACTGATTAATTTCAAAGGATTAAGATGGATGAAATGTAAATATGTTATTTATTATCTTTAATTTTAATTCTAGAAATACACTTCAAATATTAAGTTTACAATAGAGTTAAGCATAATTTTGATATTTAGTGACATTGTCTCTTATATTATAGCTTGAATAGATGTGATGTTATATTGTCTAGTCTCCCCCTAATCCACCAGTTGCTGCACTTCTGAAATTAGAATTGAAAAAAATGAACAGATTAATAAATAAATAAATAAATAAATAAATAAATAAATGAATAAATAAAGAGGTAAAGAATGTAACAAAAAACGTTAACGATTTTTTAAAATAATTGATAACAATAGAAAGTGTAAGAAAATAATACGGGGAAAATAGTAATATTTTCAGAAAATAAATGTGTAAAGTTAAGGCACTTGAAAAGAGTAAGAAGTATCAAATCAATGATTTTGCGTTGTTTTAAGTAAGAAATCATCAAGATAAGGAACAAAAATCTTAATTACAGTATGGGTGTACATTAAAATATGTAAGTCATGTGCGAACTGTGATATAACTGTTCTTGTGATAATACTTAATGTCACGTCTAAATTGTTTATATGAAGAAAAATAAAGTCAGCCAACACTAAAGCATGGATGTTACCATCTAAATGATTGTATGCCATTATATAAAAATACTTCTTAATGTAACGTGCAAATTACACACTGTTAACGACAATACTAATTATCGAAGCTTGTTTTCGCGCACGCAAATTTATTTCCAAGAGTACATAGACAGATGAATATCTTTGAAGTAAATTTGTTATCAACGATAGTCATGAAGCCATGTATCTCTTCTGCAAAATAAATATTGGAATTTTGAAAATGAATATTTCAAAAATGCTTGTATGAAATAGATAGTACAGTGCATTGCCTTAAAAGCGAAACGGGCATGATCAAAATCATTTCTACTTGAAAAAGCAGAATAATGTTACGTTCTGGAGAATCTTGTTCTATTTACATAAACGATAAACAAGTCCTTCTAAAATCGATTATGAGATAATGAATCTAATATAATTATACTGTTGATAAATTAAAAAATATATCATAATACATTGCATTACAACATTTAAAATCGCAAAATGTAAGGTTGTATATAAGATTGTTTATTAAGTTGTTTCTTTTGTACACTGGGCGCGTCAGGTTTTTTTCTGTCGCAAGTGCTTTAAATACATACAAGTACAATTTTACCTTGTACAAATTTTACAAAAAAGCTTCACTAAAAGACAGATAAATATCAGATGTTTAGACATTGTCATCATCATGCGGGTCGGCCTCTAGATACATTTGGCAGAGTTAGGCTAGTAACGCACGTTGTCTCGATTGTATAGGGATTTCAAAGAAATGGTGTAAATACTCATGAATAAAAATAAAAGGCAGGTATAAAGGTATATCATTTTTCATATCGGAAGCCCGACTATTGTACTTTTCCTTAGAAACCTTTCATATTTTGGTAAGAATGTATTTATTTATTGGATAAATTTTTCAAAAGGTTCTAGCAATTGCTAAAATCTCATTTTACCAGTAATAAGCAAATATACAACTTATTACACACTGTATATTGAGGAATTAAAAACAAAAACAGATAAATAATGTGCATAAACTATTTTCTTACAAGTAAAGAAGGTCCGACGTTGATGAACTTCCACCAAACAATCCACCACTTGATATCATACTGAACATAATTATGAAGAAAAACACTGAAAGGATAAAGATTATCGAATAAATTAATACTTATTTATTAGATCATCTAGGACTCAAACGATATATAGAGAAGTAAAAAACAACAATATGAAACTTGTACACTATGTATGTAGTTATGTAGTTATGCTTCTGCTCTTTTGTTTTCTTTATTAGGATCACACATTTTCCGTCGTCATGTCTCGATGAAATTCAAATGGAAGAAGGTAATATGCCATTGCTTATTTAAATAAATTGCTTCTACAAAAAAAGAGGCAGAACTTATTTGTTTGGAATGAGTGATTCAAAATCATGCTCATATAAAACATAACATAAAAAGATAATATACTTGTAGCTAAGTTGCTTTTACAAACAAATAAAATATACATTTATATTTATTTGATAACGAATAGCAAATTGTTCAAGGGAAACAAACACAAACAAATGCCGTTGCTGCTTACTTGTACATATAAACACCATACATTCTTAAGTGTAGACGTGTCACTACTACAACACAAATGAAAGTCATGACAACTTACACATAAACATCATTGCGAAGAAGCCAAACATCATAAGTCCTGCAGTACCCAGTATTCCTAGTCCCCCTCCACGGTTAAAGTTTCCATACCCATATTGCTGAGGATATTGTCCACCACCATATGGATACGGCTGTTGATGTGGATACGGATAAGGATATTGATATTGCTGGTAATAGTTTGGGTAATATTGTCCAGTTGTGCCGTACGATGGGTATGAGTTTGGAACGTAGGATTCGATACCACCGGCTCCAAATACAACAAGAACGGCGCTGACGAGTTGGATGATGAACATGTACAGGATTCTCATCTAAAAATGTTTCCCATAAAAAGATCGATTCGTGCCTTTAAAGGCCTGTGATTCTATCAAAATGTTGGTCCAACTTTCCAAACTGAGTTTAAAAATACCGTTTTTGATATCTTTCTGAAATAATTGCTCACCAAAGTTTTCTAAGGGACAGAAAGGGAGGTCTTAACAATAAATTAAATAAACACGACATCATGTTTATTATTATAGATATGTTACTGTTAATTGAACAGACAATTTTAATTGTCAATTTGTATCCATGTTGGTGCAAATTTACATACGTATAAAAACAATTTCAGTACATCTGAATAAAACAAGTTACCTTCTATTAAAACCGGACATTATAAAAACCCGCATGCAAATTTAATATATTACAACTCTGATGATTAAAAGGTACTTTTAATACATATATTTATAATTTGTTGTTTGGGTTGAAAACGAAAGTTTACTTTTTTACAATAGATTCTTAGTAGGAAAATACGAAACCCTTACGCGATATATAGTCAATATTTTTTCATCTTTTTTAGATAGTTTCTCCCTTTCTAGTCCCAGATGTCATGGGCCGTAATTTTGATTCTTTAGATGGGTATGGAAATTTGGACCAACATGGAATAACAGGCTTTCAAAAAGCGCATGATTAAAATTAAATTATTCAATATATAAAAATTCACATATGAATAACAAACAAGATGATTTACATCTGGACAATGCATAGCACCTTTAAGTATTATAATGAAAACTACCATTCCGATATTGTAAACAGGATATAAACCAAAATTCACTAGATACAAAGCTACTAAAATATACTTTCAGACGTCGTGATTCATTGTAAATAGGCATAGTTTATAGAAAAGAAAGACGCCATGCTTTATTTCCCTTATGAAAGCCCGAACTTGATTATATTACATTTTACTTTGACATCAATTTAATGTGTTGCAGTAGGAACATTTGTATTAGGATGTAAGCATTTTCTTCAGAAATTTCATACGCTTAACATAGTCTTTTAACTTTATGTATTGCAATTTGTTTATAATCATTTACTATAAGACAATAACATTTGTCATATTTTTATCTTACAAATCCTTTCATAGTAATTGTATTGACATTTCTTTTTGTGCATTTAACTTGTTGTTTATGACACTTTAGTTAAATATAACACTTATATCAAGCAAATTATATGTATTTTAAATGTACTTTACATATTTTTTTGAACATAAGATGTGACACGTATTGAAACTAATATTTAACCAGACTCAAAAATTATCTTCAAGTTCATCGTTAGAACGTTTTAGGGGTTCATCTTTTTCTTTATTCAAAAAAACAATGTCCAGCCATGTTTCACTTAAGAAAGTTGAAGTTGATTTAGTTCCTTTCTATTATGATTGCATTGTCAGAAGTTCAGGGAAATAGCAAACCATGAATCATATTTAGTAAAGATCCGAACAAATACTGTTGCAATTTAAAAAAAATGTTTTTAAACTTGTATCAAGTAACAATTATTTCAAATGAAAATATATTTAAGTTTATCCACTTAAAAGAAAGGTAATGGATTTTAAGAAATTCAAGGAGAAGATTAATACTGTTTCTGATATGTTTAACGCCAAACACCTTTTTGTAAAAACGTAAAATTTTATTATGTTTAACGTCCCTATTTTCGTAGAAAATGAGAACTTTTTTGTAAACTTCTCATTTACTCAGATGTTTAGTTGATCCGTCTTGTTCAAACTCAAGTGCATGGTAAAATCATATAAAATGGATGACCACTCAATTATTGAGTGAACGTAATGGAAACTCCGGTTGTAATCGTGTTAGTTACCACAAGTACTATCAAAATTTTACAACTTTAAACTCTGACATCAAATAACTTTAAAAACAAGATTAGAAAAGTCCTCAAGGTGGTGAAATAAGAAATTTCGTTTTTATAAATGTAAAAACGTCGACCTTATTTTGATACATACTAAAATTATTGACTACTTTTGGTTAATATGCGTGTTACTTCTTTTATTACGAACGTTTTTTTCCTTACCACATCGATCTACTTGCTGAAAATAGTAACATTTTGATGGCAACCTATATGTATTTAAATCTAATTTGATCAGTTATGTCAATTAAAATTGATGTACAATATTTAATTTTATATAATTTCCCTATACACAAGTTAGATTAATATAGCAAAATAATAAATTGATATGCAGTTTGTACAACCTCTTATCCAGAAATTCAACCATTTTATTCATAAAAGACATTCAAACCAGTATCTATTCAACAATTCTTTTTCTTTAAAAATAAACGAGTAAAGAAAAACTAAAATAAGCATTTGTAGTTATTTCAATAAGAAAAAACTAAAGTAAAAAAGCGATAAATTTCTTTTACCAGTTCTGAGCTTTTGATAGCAAGTTATATGATAATTTTGTAGTAATTTGTTAGAAAATAAACATTTCATTTTTGTACAAAACAAAAAGCAAACACAAAATAATTTTGTCAATGGTGACTGAACATCTTGAGAAAGTATGAAAGCTATCAAATATTAGTACATTTTTCTGTTAAGTTATACAAAATATGCATGTTGTTGCAAATATATCTTTAACATTAGTGCGACAAGGGTTATCAAATCTATACAAAATTGATTTTCTGAATAAGAATAATCAACAATTGCAAGAAGTTGTACTTTTGGCTTCAAATCGTATCTGTCAATAGTTGATATTGAAAAGTTAGAAAATCTGTATTTATGATTTTCCGAATGTCTTTATAGAAACATACAGATGTAAAAAAAAACAAAAAAAAAACCAAAAAAAAACCCAGAGACAATCTCGTTTAATGAAAAGATGTGTAATATGTGTTCTTAATTAGAGGATGAATTCCATGCAATATCGAAACTGTGCCATATTTTTGAATTGTTAATATCGAAACTAGAAAAGGATCAAGGTTCATTTTAAAATGTTTGAATTAAGAACAAATGTTGATTGTATATAAAAAAAAAGAAAGAGAGAAACCCTAAAAAACGGCAACATTGAAAATGTTGAGTTTGTTCACGTTAATGGTTAGTGAAAGTTGTCGCCCCTTAGCGTCGACTAAAGCAGAACATGAAAATGGTGACATTTGCAGATTTAGAAACATCTGCAGATGTGTTCATGCGGTTGTGGTTATGGAATTCTAAATTTTAATGTGAAATATGCCAGACTTAATTGTATTTAATTGTTATCATATGCAATATTTGATTGATATAAAATATTTAATTTTAGATATAACAGAATTTTATATATTTATTCAGTTGATCAAAAATGTAAGTAGATAAAAACAAAAACAAAAAAGATGATTCAAATTTAAAAATCATGACATTTTTTAAAGTAATAAGAAATAAGGAACTGGAACACTTTTGTGTGTGTCTTTTTTAGGACTTTTACATTTCTGTAAACGTTTATTGGATACTTTGGCTATATATACAAGAAATGTTAATTTACTTCAATTCATTAACAATCTTTTAAGATATTCATGTGGTAATGCTTTTGTCTCGTGAAAAACCTGTTACTGGAAACGGTTGTTATTATTTTTTTTTGTATTTGATATCAAAGCATCTAATGTGTGTCATTCTTTAGAAATAAAAATGGCAAATAATAAATTAAAAATTCAAGTGCTTCATGGATATTAAATTCTTATCAAAAAAAATTCTAATTGATTTTCTAATAATCTGTTTACAAATTGTCTCTTAGAATGGAATTATATATGAGATATACACTATGATATATCAATTTACTGTGTTATATGTTAAAATATATCTGATATATACATACTATAAGATAATCCCTCTTCAAGGGGGAAGTGACTCTTTAAAATTATATCCCTTCTATTCTCATTGGTTGAACAACAAGACATTAACTTCCATAACTAAAGTTACATTTCCAACTTAAATTTCTAACATCCCTTGTCGAAATATTCCTACATTATTCCAAGATAAAAACTAACCTTATCATTCCTCGTCAGTGTGTGTCGCCAGGTGCTTACGTCTTCCCGACATGCATCAGAACAAATTGTGTATTTTACACGTACATTTTAAGCCTGGGGGGTGTTAAGCAAGCCTTTTAAAAAAAACACTTAATGGTGTCGGTAAAAATAGATATATTAGATTTTTTTTGCAGAAAAGAAAGACAACAAGGTCAATCTTTAATACTTTTTAGCAGTTTGAAAAGTTCTAATTTAATTCATTTGTTCTAGAAGTATGTACATGTATATTCTTTTGTTTTCCTCAAAAGTTGTTTTTATGAACCCTAAACTAACACTTGTATCTTCGCCCGGAAATGTGTGAAAAGTCAATAAATCAAATAGTTTAATAAAAATCGGAAGTTGTGGCAAAGCTCATATATAGCTTAAAAAGTAAATTTTCTTATGTGAAATGTATAACAACTGTTAGAATAGAATGTACATATTTACATGTATTTCGAAAATGGTTCTGTAATTCTTTTCAAATAAATTAGATTGGTTTGTTACATGCATTGCCTCAAATACGTCGTGGAACTAAAGCCCTCCCGGAAATATGTACATGTATATGAAAATATAGTTTATCTTTGTTCACACCAATAAAATCTAAAATTCGGGCAAACACATTGATCGTTTGTCCTCTTTTGAAAAAAATATACATGTATATATAGATCTATATAGTTTTAAAAGAGGATAAACGATCTTCAATCGATATTTTTTTTATAATATTTCTTACTTATAAATAATACATTTCTGTATCCTTATTGTCGTGTTCTAGCTGTCATTAGCACAAGCATACATGTATGTATATAATTTTCTTTGGCCTACAAAGCTTTTTTGTTTTCTCGATAAAACACTTTCTGTCAAAATTAAAGCTCGACAGCCATGGACATCACAACCGCCAGTTACATATTATTGCTTCATGTAAATTATTTAAAGATTATAATATAGATGAGATAGAACCCTACAATAATGTCATAATGTGCCTATCTTTATATTTCTATTATCGTCTTTCAGTTGCCTGTCTGTGTGTTAGTAAATAAGTTAGAATGTTTGTTCGTTTTCTCCTGATTATTTGTAATGTTATCCTTATCACCCTAATATGAAAATTGCTCTTACCATGATTTACATAGTAAAACAAGGATAAGGTACACTCGGAACAAATTACTTTTAAAGATAGCGTCATACATATGAATAGTCAACCATGAGTGTATATAGAGCTTCATGTAAATCGGTATGGTTTATATAACAATCAATATTGATTGAAGTATTCAATGAACCCTGTGGCGATCTTTTTTACTGGTTAATGTCACACAAAACGTGATGATATATAAATTGGTTGATACAAGTCAAGCAGAAAGCAAAATATAGTATATCAAAAGGACTGATACATCGGACAGCAATTGGGGTTAGAATTGACGAAATGTCAACTAAACACATCGGTAGATGGAAACATTAAGACAAATTCTAAATTATTTCGAAGGGTGAACATCAGATACGCACAAAGATATTGTAGAAATGATGCGCCGTCATATGCTGCAGTATTGAAGTCAGATCCTTGAGTATGATGCTTGGCCTGGTAAGCTAAAAATGGTGAATTAAAGTCCATGATATTGTTATTTTTACAGACGTGTTACAGAAAAAGAAATAGCCAGTGCAATCGGAATTTGACAGGAAAGAGTGAAATTTCATTCTTTCAGAAGATTCTACAATATAGAAGATCTCGGTCAGTTTGGTGTCAGATCCTGTGCAACTCTTACTTTCCTTGATTATTCTCTCGAATCAGTTTTGAAAGCTAATGTCTCAAGTTTAAGGATGTTTGTAAAACAACAACAAAAAAAAAAAAAAAAAAAAAAAAACAAACAAAACAAACAAAAAACATATTATTTGGATAAAAAATTACACAATTCCTGGTGGCTGTTACAATTTACTCAATGTCACTCCTATGCTTACTGGAACTGTTGATAATCGTACCGTGCTTGCAGGAAGTTGCAACGTATATGTTATTAAGTCAATGATGCCTACATCATAATTTTATTTGACCAAATGACAGTACACTATAACATTTTAAATGCTTGGGCCCTGCATCAGCTCCTTTTATCTATTATCACAGAAAAAATACAATATGACAACACGGCATGAAAGCTGTGATTCGGCAGTAAGCAAGTTGTACGTACGCAGTATTTGTCGACGTCATATTTTGAAACCTGAGGGCGCACGTTGGTCACGTAAACTCCGGCATAATACGGAAATAAATTAGCTATTTTCCCCGTGACATAATGATTTACAGACAGTCCACCTCTCAGATACTTCAAACCTAGCCTTTTTTGCAGACACTTCATCTATCAGACACTTCATACCTCTTTTTATGAAATCTGATCGAGACACTTCACCCCTAATTTTTTTATTTTGTATTTGTATTCAATGGTAATTAAAATATTCATGGTTTTAAAATATTTTGATTATACACATGTATTATAGATATATTTATGGAGACATAATGAAATATAAATATTGTTGTTTTTATTTTTCTAAAAAAAAGCTACCACAATGATGTTTTTGAAAGAGCAAAGAAATATGGTCATTATCAAATGTACATTTTTTTTCTAAGATATTTTTATTAAATTTTAAAATTGCGATGAAAGGTTCACGGATTAAAATAACTTCTGTTTTTATAACTCATTTAAAGGTTGTGAATTTTCCAAGATATATATTTCAAGATTTCAAGATTTATGATTCACTTAATACACAATACATGTAAATATCAGGTAAATAACAAATTACAAATGTTTAAGAGGTTAATAGTATATAGCTATAAATGATGATACTTTAATTCCTTTCTCTTTAAGTGACAGGTTGTATTTTGATAGTTTACTGTTTATGTTGAAAGTCACATATATATTCATTTGTCAGCAATTATATATTGCTCTGCATATTTACTAATCTTTATTTCATTTCCATATGTAAGTAACCTTCAAGTTATCTTTCATGTTAAGTTTACATGTTGTTATATATTAAAAGTTTCATGTTGAATAATTCATGTAACTGTAAATTGTTTTTCGTGATATAATTATGTTTAAATGTTTTATACTTAAAATTGCCAGAATATATATAATTATTCTATTAAAAATACTAAAAGTAAAGAAAATTAACACATGAAACGCATATTTGTTATTGAAATATTTACTCTATAATTGATAAGGGTTGCAGGATGAGGTGTCCTACTAATTTTGGGGACTGAACTGTCTTGAGGAGTGAAGTGTTTTGGAGGCGAAATGTCTTGTTTCCTTAGCAAAACAATCGAATGAAAAATTAACGAATGATCTTGACGAGAGTGAGCAACTAATTAGTAAATTCTGACAGGTCTGAAAATTGTTGAAATAAATTACAGATATCGTCATCAGCATCATCTTCATCAGCATCATCATTTGTCACAGTGACCTGTGTTTATCAATAACTTGTAGAAAAATAAATTGTTCATTGTGTCCACACAAATGGGGAAGTAATTATTGTTATATCTCTATACATACTTGGGTATCTTCAATATTTTTCCGACAATTTAATTATGAAATTACGGTAAAATACGACTTCTTGAATAAAGCGCCGCCTGTTGTCAAAATGTGACTTAATATTATGCTTACTTCCACTTTGCCTAGTGCTATCAAACTGGTTGATAACACTACGTATATTTTGTTACTTGTTGCATTACATATGTACCACGATAGCCATATCATGATGAAATATTTATATGCTACACTGCATTACCAGTCACCCAAATGGAAACATGGCCTAAATAATATAGATCAGAACAGAACAAAACAAAACTGAACAAAACAAAACTGAACAGAACATTTATTTCACTTGTACAACATGTACATCGTGCACATAAATAACATAGTCACACAATCTATATAAAACAAAACAAATGTTACATTAACCAATGAGTTATTAAATAAAAAAAGATGATAATGATTATATATTTTGACTCATTTGTTTATTTCAACGATTAAAAGCAATCTTATTAAATTTACAAAGTTTAACAAGAGTATCTTTTTCCTTGCAATTTAACAATTCGATAAGTTTATGCAGGTTTGGTCTGATATAATAATATTGATCAATATATAACCGTCGTATATCATTAAAACATGGACATTTAAATATAAAGTGGAATTCATCATCGATGTCGCTTGTATCACAGAAAAGACATACTCGTGCATTTCTGGGTAATCTATTAATTTCATACCTATTTGTTTGTACGCGTAATGAATGAGCTGACACTCTTAGTTTTACTAAATAGGTTCTTAAATCAAAAGGTAATACATCGTGATACCTTTCACATTCAAATTTTTCTTTAAGATGGTGGTAAAGGTCTAACATTGTGCTTCCTGACTTATTACTATGCCAACCTTGCAAGAAACAATCTGTTAACTGCTGTCTAAAAATACTTAAAAACGGCTTTTCTTTAACAGAATGAGGATTATCAAAAGCATAATTATATCCATTTTCATACAATAATTTTTTTACATTTGAGACCCAATTCTTTTAACCATTTATAACAATCATTATATGACAATGCTTTTATACATTTTCAAAATTTATATTATATGTACTTGTGAGGATAACACATGTGTTCAATTTAACTGTACTATACTGTTCAATAACTGTAAGAACAGCAGTGTAGATTACGTGGGTGGCTGAAGAGAACACGTAATACTGGGTGTTCACTTCAACTGTTCACCAAATTTAAAGACACACGACACAGTCGTAATGGGCAGCTTCATAAGGTTTTGGGCAAACAAACGATGCATCACGCGCTAATATTTTCCAACTTTATATTCCAGAACAACACATATCTAAGGAGTATATATGCGTATATTAGCGTTACGTAGGTTATCTGAAAGTTAGACAGTTATAACTCGCATTAATAAGCAATTAAAACAACATACAAAAGAATGCGATACATATTTACAAATAAAAAGTCA